CAGGGCGCAGCTGGGGGTGCCCAAGGGCCGCTCAGAAACGCAGCCAGGCTTCCAGGGAGCAAGGGCCTGGCCGGCCGCGGCTCTGTCCAGAAGGGTGAGCCTCGCTGCTGAGAGGGGCCTTGAGCAGCGGCAAAGGCCCCCAGGGGCCTTCGAGCCAGGCCGCCGCTCGGGCCCGGCACCCGGCCAGACTCTGCACTTCCAAGACCCTGGGTGACTCGGTGGCCCGGAATGGGGCGCGGTGCTGCCACCCCAGTCCGAGCAGGAGCGGCTCAGGCGCAGAGGAAACTGTCCGGTTCTGGTTCCCCGGGATCTTCCAGAAATAACACAACAAATACCCGCTGAACATTTTCTTCGGATCCCTCTTAAAACCACATTTTTACTGCCACGAACATGACTGATGAGTCAACGGATGAAAACCCGGGCTGGACAGTGCCCGGGAACATTTCCCCGAGTTCTCCCTCCCCCACCTCGTGAATGCTCACCCTGTACCTGGGGGCCCCTCCCCCCTGCTGGGACAGACCCCACATGGCAGCCCGCACGCCCCTCTGAGCTCACTCTCGCGGCTGCAGGGCTTCTCTGCTCTATCGACCTGGGGCCGGCGTCTGACCCGGCGTGTCCTGCTCTTAGCTCTGCGTGGCGGGCGACCTGGCGTCGTTACCTGCCCCCGGCCACCGCTCCCCCTCACACGAGAGGCCTGAACACACTCAGCGCGGGCTGGGGTAGGTTTACCTTGGGAACTTCTCCGTTGCTGCCGGGGGGCAGCCGCAGGATCCAGAAGTTTCTGTTCTTCAGCAGGTTCTCCATGTTCTCCAGCCGGCGCTGCAGCAGCCCGTACTCCTGCAGCAGCGTCCCCAGCACGACCCACTTGCTCTCCAGATGGTTCGCGAACTCCACGGCCGTCTTCTCGCAGTCGGCGATCTTTTTTTCGTTGGTGCCCGTCCGCCCCTCCAGGGTCAGCAGCCGCATGGCCTGGGCCTCCAGTTTCCTCTCCACGGCCTGCACAGCAGCCCACACGGCCAAGCGGGTGATCTCTGCCGTCGGCAGGGGCGTGTCCTTCTGGGCTGCAGAAGAGAGCGGGAAGGGGGCGTCCTTTTGGGAAACCGGGCTCTGCAGCAGGGGGTCCATGTCGGCCTCAGGGACTGTGGGGGAAAGAGTCAGGGGGTCTTTCTCAGGAACCTCCGGGGAGTGGAGTGAGGCTTCGTGATGGTGGGACAGCAGTGAGGCGTCTTGCTCGGCAGCCGGGAGCGGGCACTGGGTCTCCTCCTGGAGATGGCCTTCCGGCCCAGAAGCGGCAGGATACAGGAGTGAGGGTCTCTTCTGGAGCACAGGTGGCATCCGGCCGGCAGTCTCTTGCTTGGGCACACCGGGGGTCTGAGGCAGGGAGCCTTGCCGGGGCCCGGGAGACAAAGAAGGAATTTCTTTGGGGGGCAGAACACGGGATGAAAACAGAGTTTCTCGGGGAAGCCCGGCAGGGGCCTGACGAGGGGCCTCTTCTTGCAGGACGTTGGGGAACGACAGAGGTGATGAACGCTGGGTCTCCATGTCCAGCTGCTGGACCTGTGTCCAAGGAAGAAAGGAAGGAAGCACAGGGTTGAAGCCACTGTCTCTGCTGGCAGGAGCAGCAAAGCCACGAGCCTCCTGGAGACCGTCGCTGACTTAGACAGTGACTAGAAAGCTGTGATCGACTGGAAAGATTGCCACGCCACCTCTGCCTCTCAGCCACGCCACCTCTGCCCCTCAGCCACGCCACCTCTGCCCCTCAGCCACGCCACCTCTGCCTCTCAGCCACGCCACCTCTGCCTCAGCCACGTCACCTCTGCCTCAGCCACGCCACCTCTGCCCCTCAGCCACGCCACCTCTGCC